TTAAAAAAAAAAAAAAAAAAAAAAAAAAAATTATTTGGAAACAGATTTATTTTACTGAAGTTTAGACACAGAAAACCAGACAAACACAATAACTTACCACATCAAATTGCATCCAATTGTAGTTACCATGCACATCGGACAATACCACTTTTCCATCCTCAGTTCCATCCTCGTCCACAAGCTCTCCTGAACGAGATTCGCAGTTTAGGGATCAAATGCGGCGATAATATGTTCATCACCCTCATCCAAAACTACGGCATCGCAGGCCGACCGAAGTGTATATTTTAGTATATTTTATGTATATGTGGGTTCCAAACGAGATCCGCAGTTCAGGAATCGAGTGTATATTTTAAGTATATTTTATGTATATGTGGGTTCTGAAATCGCTTTTGAGATACGATAGAAACTCGAGTGTATAACTAAAGTATATTTTATGTATATGTGTGTCCCAATCTGTCGTTGGCTTGAATTACAAGAATCTCGAATGTAATGTATATTTCATGTATATTTTATGTATATTTGTACAAATTTGGTATATATTTTATATACCCGCAACATGTAAATTTTCATATTTGATGGTCACATATAAATCAAGTACATAATTTTCATACTCGAAACATATAAATTTTTATACCCCGAAACATATACTGAAAATATATTGTATATACCCACACATGTACAGAATAGAACTAACTATCAACGAATCAAGCACACCAAGTGTTCGAAAATTATTCTCTTAAAAGTTTTTCGTCAAAACGGAATCAATTACGGCCAAAACAACACAAAATTATTCGTCAACAAAAAAAATAATACCAAAACAAGGACGTGAAATTTTAAATCAGTTTTTGATATATTTTAGTATATGTTGAGCTTACATGTTGTTTATTTCACTTTTATGCTTTGTAAACAATTATACTAGAAAAATAAACCATACATATATACCACAAAATCATAAAAAAAAAAAAACTTAAAAGTATATATATAGTTTATCAACATATTATAACAAGTTACTTATATTCATTCCATGTATTGAATGGACAATATATATTGAGTTTATATTTAGTATATATTTAGTATATATTGCATATATATACAACATATATTGAACATATACTCTCTATACACACCACATATACTGCATGCCTACACACGCAATATATATTGTTGTAAACATATTGTCGTGAATATATACTGTACATATATTGTAGATATACTATACATATACTAAAAAATGGATCAAGTCCAAGTGTTAGGTTCTCAGCCAATTTGGGTCTGTAACCCCCACACTATTCACAACCATTTTGTCCAAAAACTTGTGATTTTGAGGTAAAACCAAGGTCCTCAAGGTCAAATTCACGGCGGCACTCAACTCCAAATAATCAAATCTCTGGGCAAGTGAATTTGAACAATCTTGTCAAGAAAGGGGGACAGAGAAGAAATGAAGCCGGTGTTGGGAGGGGCAACAACGGAAACACCGCTCAAATTCCAGTTTTCCCGTGGGATCGATCCACGTCGAACGGACCGGAAACGTCGTGACGCGCCGTCAAGGAACAAGTCCGGGTGGAAGATCGAGACGTTGTTGATCGAGACATTGTTGATCTCAAAGCCAAGCTCGCACTTGTCCCCAAAGCCCCCGGCAATTCTTCCATCTCACGCCTCACAACCTCTCTTTTTTCATTAATTTCCCCTTATGGTTTGTTAAGGTTTTCAAAAGGGAGAGGGACATATAATTTTCTAGGCTAAGAAAGGGGGTAGGTTGCCACAAACCTCCGCCTCACAATTTATAAGTATTAACTCTTGACTTTTGAATTTTATGAATCATGAAACATGCGAATCAGAAAATTTTATGGATTTTGGGAGGCGGATAACTTTAAGGTGTAGAAAAAAGAAGAAAATACAGAGGATAGGGAGAGAGATGAAGCGAGATGGGGACGGAGAGGGAGAGAGATATTATCTTCACCCGTAAAATCAGTAACTGTCAAATTAATTATCGCAATTAATTTAAACAGTTAAGTCTTAGGTATATTTGCAATATTTTAGGCTTATTTTGGTACAATTATAAATATTAATATAATGAGTGTAAAATTGTAATATAATTAGGATTGTAAAGTAAGGGGTGCAAATTCCTCTAATTATATAGCATGGACAACAGCTGCACATACTGGGCCGTCCAATTCTCAATATTTTAGGGAAATTTTTATGTCTACTGCGTGAAAGTAAAAATATTATAATTATACCATTGATAATAAAATAATTGTAAATCTACCTAAACATAAAATCTTTACTGCATATAAACCC